AAGTTTCATATACCAATTAACCCCATTGGTTAAACTAAAAAAGCACCCACCTACCGTCGAGCGAACGAATCCTAATGCTGTGAGGTCAGACGGTTTCCACAAAGTGAAACTGTCTGATGAATCAGGCTATAAAAATGCAGGATTTGTGTGTTAAACATGTATGAATGAAACAAAACACAACTCCAGGTCCGTTTGTGACGAGGAAACAGCATTATAACATCAGAAAATAGCGTAATATGGAGCTTTTAAGTCACCACGTTGTATCTTAAATTATAAATATCATCTTCTTTCTTTCTTTCTTTCTCATTGTTTGTCAGTTGAAAATCTCACTGGTCAGGGTTGTACATACGGTCAACATTTTACTGCGAACTTCCTCATTGGTTTGTTGGCTGTGGCCTGGGAAACTACAGACTTGCTTTTCTCGTCTCATTAAGTGATATTAAGAGATAAATCGATGGAACCGTTACAAAGAGCACACTGTGGGAGAAAACGCTGTAGGCAAAAACTGTCAAAGCAGCATTTTGGTGTAATATTTTCCCATGGATGTTAGAAACGCAATAGAAAATACAAAATACCTGATTTAAATGTTTCTATAATGAGTAAAATGAAAAGACTTCTACATCAAAATTCCCTAAACTGTGTGGAAAATATGGGGGAAAACTTATAAATCAAATATTAATACAAATTTTTCTACTCCAAAAGAAGGTTATTAGGATTATTAATCATGTGAATTACTTTGCTCCAACAAATCCTCTTTTTGTTAAGATGAAAGTACTTAAATTTTTTTATCTTGTTGACCTGAGTACAGCTGTAGTGATGTACAAGACCGATAATCATCTGTTTCCTCTTTGTGTACTGGAGTTAGCTGAGCAAAGAGAGTCAGTATAACCTTAGAGGGACAGGTGTGGTATAGTATTTTGACCCCGGGGTCAGAATCCTATTATGGTATGTTGACCCCCCTTATGAAAATCTATATTTTATTAATAAAAAACTTGAATTCTATAGAGAAACTTTGAAAATTAATACTGTATCTGCAAATTAAAACATATTGACATATTTAAAAGTGTTATTTGAAGAACTCAGATGCATTTTTTATGTTGATTATAACTTTTGAATGTTAAAAATGACTTAGTTGTTTAAACACATATTTGACTGAAAATGAGATAAGTAGTTATTAATGAGTTAGGTGATCAAAGTGATGTATAATGATTTGGAATCTTGTTAAAATAGACAGGGCTGATCAACTGAGTATTTAAATAGATGATAGGAGAAGATTTGTTAAATGGTTTCTGTAATCAATAATTTCGCTTAAAATTACATGTGTTCAGTGTTGGGAAGGTCACTTTTAAAATGTAATCTCCTACAAATTACAGATTACATACCCCAAATTGTAGTTTGTAACGAAATCCATTAAATTACTTAAGGTGAGTAACGTAATCTGAATACTTTGGATTACTTGATCTTGTCATGCTTTTTAAAACTACATGAATGTAGCAACCACATCCTGAAAATTCTTGTTTATTCTCTTGAAATTGTCTGTTGAGCCCGAGTCTCCATGAACAGACTTTTGTGAAGCAAAGACTAGGAAATCTTAACATAAGATGTTTTGTCTGTTAAAAGTCAATAAAAAGCCCAGTCTTTCCTTAACCAAATTAAAAATATTATTGATAGAGAAATTATTTCTATATGAGATCACCTTAAAGTATGTGCACCCTACTATTAGGTGTCATATTGTTTATTAAAAAACAATGCACTTTCAGTACAAACATAAAGGCGCCTGCACAGTAAAAATCAGTAATATTTGATGTTTTTTGCACAAAATGATGCAGAATGAGATTATTAACAACGATTATTAACGACCTCATCCATTGTGTGACTGATGCCACCAACGTTAACAAGACGTTACGTGGCTCTTATTGCGTGTGTTCTGTTTGGGTTTCCAGCAATGAGTGGAATTACCGAAATAATATCAAATAAAATTTTTAAAAAGGGACATTGCCCAAAATGTGAAAATAGGAAAATACCACTGTGTAATCCATTTATTTCAACAAAGTAACTGTAATCCAATTACCACTCATTGAAACATTAACTGTAACCGAATACAGTTACTCATAATTTGTACTCTGATTACATAACACCGGTACATGTAATCTGTTACTCCCCAACACTGCTTGTGGATTATCTGAACATAGCAAACTAAAAACCATAACAAAGTAAAATACAATATAAAAAGTGACAAGATTGCTATATATATATATATATATATATATATATATATATATATATATATATATATATATATATATATATATATATATATGTATGTGTATATATATTATATATTATATATATATATATATATATATATATATATTATATTATATATGCAATTTTAATATTACGTTACATTTACACAAAATATCAAGTTGTTATCCATCAGAACATTCCTTAAAATACCTTAAAAGAACGTGAATATGTAGCAAGATATAATAAAAGTAAATTACATGAGAAATAATGATTAGATAAGAAAATACTAAAGAAAAAAGTAAGTATAAAAGTAATATACTATGGAGGTCAAAATAATCTCTCATTAGTATCCTAAAAAAAAAAAAAACGAAAATAAGAACTAAGAAAAAAATGATTGTTAGTATATGGAATAACCTGAGCGATGATTTTTAAAAAAAAGTATAAAGCATTATGTTTTGAGAGATATAGAGCTCTGGAATGAATGAATTATGCATAAAATTTTGTTTGTTTCAATTTATATTTTGTCTCTTATATATACAGTAAGCCATCAGTGAAATTGTTAACACAAACTTGCTGTTCATATGCTGCTTTTCTTTCCTGTAATTCTGTCTTTGTTTAACAGGGTTTGGCGTTATAAGTACTTTTTACTTCAGCTTAAACCAGGGGTGTCAAACTCATTTTGGTCCAGGGGCCGTATCCAACCAACTTTGATCCCAAAGGGGCCGGATCAGAAAACTCATGGCATATAAACCCCAAAAATAACAATAAGTTTAAATATATGTGCAGAGAAACACAAATCTATTACAGAAATCTTTTTTAATTGATGAACTCTTTCTTTTACAAAATATTATTATTATGAACAACCTGAAACTTTAAGAAAAATACAATTTCAACACAATGTTTTAACATGAACTTGTATAAAATTAACTTGTAGAAATAGGAATAAGTAAATTTTTCTTGTAAAATCCTGCACTCGGCTCCACTTTTCTCATGTTGGACATTTTTCTGATGAGGGTGTCACGGTCAACAGTCAAAAGAGCGTTTGGAAAGAGACAAGTCTTCATTTGTGCTGCTCTGGTGGGAGGGGCCACGCACAGAGACGCTGGAGACGCTGCTGTGATAAACACCACAGAAACTTAACAAGATTTTAATAGAAAATATCATTAAAATATTTTTGTAGAAAATCAGCCGAGGGCCAGATTAAAGGTCTTGGAGGGCCGGATCTGGCCCCCGGGCCGCATGTTTGACACCTGTGGCCTAAACCCTTTCGCAGTCTATAGTAGTCTATGTTTTCTTTTGTTTTGTTTTGTAGTGCTGCAAAATGACCAAATAAACTACTACTACTACTACTACTACTACTACTACTACTACTACCTCAGCTCTACACTGTGACTCACTGTGTATACAGTCTGTGAAGTGTCTTGCCCAAGGCCAGGACAACAGTGTGCTATTGTGTGCACGCATGTTTAACATACAAACCCTGCATATTTAAGCTAAGTTCTTCTCTCGAACAACACTCAAAAACTCTGTTCCTTCTGATGCCATGTAATAACACAGGAAGTGCTCCACTGTGTTTTTAAAACTCGACACAGCTTCACTAGAATCATTTCGATTATTTCAGCTCTGGAAAATGCCTACTAAACAAAAGGTAATAGCCTAGCTGTTAAGTAATAATAAAGGGTTACTCAAGCATGTGTAAATGAAACGAAACACAACTCCAGTTAAGTTTTTGATGAGGTAAGAACATTATTTGTATTTATTTATTAAAGGGATGATACATATTAAAAGACAAGATGATGCAAAAGAGAAATATGTACTTGTAAATATGCAGGATTGTAGCCAGAGCTATTTTCCATCATTAGTTCCCCCTCCTGAACCAAGGGCAGCCACATAAACCTCACACTTCATAACATGGCTTAAAGCACACAAGAGATAATTTTGCATAATATAAGACAGCGATCCCCAACCTTTTTTACACCACAGACTGTTTTAAGGTCAGACAATATTTTCACGGACCGTCCATTAAGGTGTGGTGGATATGTTGTATTTTGTAAATATAATAATAAACATTTTATTTATTGCTATTATTATTTTGTTGGCATCAATTTAAAGATAACAACAACAACAACAACAAGAAAATCTGACAATTAAATACATAAATACATATTTCTACCATTATTTGCCTTGTCTTTGCTGCATGAACAAAAGGAACAGGAAGAAGATAAATCTTATAAACCCTGCTCCTTTCACAGATCAAAAAAATTACACATTTCTTTAAATTTCTTTAAGTTTCCAAAGAAGTCTGTTTTTTACTTATTTTGGAGAGCATTCTGTTTTTCATTTTTCAAAATAAAACATTGTTCACGCTTAAGATAATAAATAAAATGGAAATAATGTATGTTCTTTCTGTGCAGACTGGTTCCTGTCCTCGGCCCGGGGGTTGGGGACCACTGCTAGACCTACTTGTACTTGATGGATATCTTTTTTTAGTTTTTGACCCCATTCTGTCAATTCTTAACAAAATAAATGTGCTCAACTTATTCCAATGAAAAAATAAAAATAAAAAAATCCAAAAACGTGACGCGTAATTGCTTGGTCAACCATATACGTTCAATTTTGAGGTACAATAGCGATATTATTTTCACAGCAAATATAAATTCAAGTTTTATCCAGACTTTTTGATATTTTTCCTCCTTCTCTTCAGAGGGCGCCGCTGCTCCGTCCCGTTCCCGTGTCCGTGCGCTCTTCCGCCGGGGACGGTAGCGGAGGGGGCCTGGCTGGGCTGACGGGGCTTCCGGTACACGGCGAACACATCGGCTTTTGAGAGGACAACTCCGCTGGTACAGACACGGGGAGCGGCTTTTCCCCTAACACACATTTATTTGCATTTATTTAACCTTTTTGGAGCTGGTTTTAGGGTCGGCTTCATGCGCCATCGGAGCGGTACCGGAGGCGGCGGGTACTGATCGTTCGGCCGGGTGTCACAGCAGCCAGTGTGGGGCCAAACTGACGGGAAAATGCGGTCGATTTCGTGGAGGTACAGTGTCCAAAATGCTCATATTAACAACATTACAGACATTTAAACGTGAATACGAGACTGGCATAGTTTTTTATGTCCGGGTTGTAGCGCGTTTGGACATCAGTAACGCGACGTCTCCAAACTGGAACAATGTCAGCAGCTAAAAAATAAAAATTGTAATGCTTTAAACAATGCAACAACAGTCAGACCTAATTTTACATCATACCAGACCATACCTCATGTTTACAGCTGTTTATATTTTGTTTATTTGAGGTTTAGGTCCAATATTACGCACAATTATCTCTTGTGAGTCTTGTCTCTCTTGTGTAATGTGCCAGGTTATAATGTTGTTTCTTCATCAAAACAAAACTAATTCTGTGTTTTGTTTCATTCACACATGTTTGAGTAGTCCTGGTTTATTATTCTGTGTACATCTCCAAAGCTCGAAATGCTCTCTTCCACCTTGTGATGTCATGAAGTGGTAGTTTTCAAGTCATCTCCTTAGCTTCTTTTACAGTAGGAGTTTTCTGTAGAGATTGGCAATTCCAGGGCTGAAAATATCCAAATGATTCTAGTGAAGATGCGTGGAGTTTAAAAACACAAAAAAGTACTTCCTGTATTGTCACGTGACATCACAAAGTGGTACAAAGTGTTTTCTGTTTGAGAGAAGAACTCATACGCCTAAATACGCAGCGTTACAAATGTGAATGAAACAAAACACAAAGAAAATATGATAATACTTTGGCGTTTACGTCCAGGTAATGTACAAAATGATTCAGTAACTTTTCTGCTTGCCTCCATGGAGATATTATTGCTTTGTTTTGAGTGTTACGTAACTTCTCTATCATTTACCCAAGCTATTCAACTTCAGGTGATGCTTTTAGAGCTAAAAATACCATGAACACAAAAACAGTAGATGGTTACGAAATCAAACGACCAAGTAACATTATTTAAGGTTTGTAGAAGAATGTGACCTTGCAAAAAAGAAGAAAAAAAAGTGATATTGTACAGCGGTTATCAGCATTAAATGTAATACTGGGCCTGCACAATTTGAGAAAGAAAAAGTATTTTGTAGTGTGTTGAAGTATTAGAGGACATTTTGTTCTTTGCAGAGGACATTGTAAATAATTGCTGCTCGCCTTCTCAAATTTCAAATTCGGTTTGGTTTTGTTGTATATTGACATAATATGCGGCCAACTTGAAGGTGCACCGTATAACTTTTTGACTCGGGGTTCGTCACCGTCTTGTTTCTATGCGTCTATGTTCCAAAGCGTGACATTAAACAGCTTTAACTTACATTTATTCAATTACAGGTGGTTTTATCGCTCAAAAATACCTATAAAAACATCATTCTGACTGTGAGATCTGAGCTGTAACTTAGTCTGGTTTGGTCTCCGTGAAAGGATTAATATCATACTGTGAAACATTCCAGACAAAGCAGTAACATCTCCAAAGAGAAAAGCGTTTGACAGACCCTCCGCTGGAAAAGTTACACGATGTACCTTTAAAGGAGCTGTATGTATCATGTGAAAAAAGACTTCCTTAAATCACAACTGAGCCTGTATTGCCAGTACTTTAAACAGCAGGTAAACACATACGCATTTTTCTCATTCTCAGTATAGGGACAGAACTCATGTGAAAGCTCAGAACCTACAGAATTCCCTCCCTGAGCTGCGGAGGCTGCACTAGCACTGATTCATGATTGGCTGCAGGAGCTGGGGTTTAGGTAGTGAGCTTTCAGATCAGAGAGAAACATTTTAGGTTTAGGATTGAAAGTGGAAACCCAAGTGAGAGTCTCATTTTGCTTTCTGAACCAAAACAAATTATAACATAAATAAATGAGACTTGGGATTTGTAAATTAATCTTCTTATTTGGCTATCGATTATTCCTAACTGTTCCAATTTGTGTATATTCTTTGTTCAGCTTTTGTGTGTAAAATGACAATTAATACACTTTACTTTATGAATTTAATTTGAAGTACTTTCTCCGGACAACTCCCAGACTTGTCAGGTGGGGCGACTGGATATTCTGCCCTGTTCTAAGTTGCTGAGTTTAGCCGTGAGTTTTGTACAATGAGGGCAGTGTACTAGGCCTTCCTCTGGCCCCAGGCTCGAGGCCCTGAAACCACATACGGACTCAGTGCCACGACGGCAAAGATAGAAGAAGCACACCTTTTCACAAACACGGATGGTCCGGTTTCAACGCCAGCAAAGCTTTAGCGTCTTTGTTATCTGTGAGAGAATCTTAAAACATGCTAAACAGGTTGGAGAGGGTGTGTGAAAGTGCATCATTTTAGACATCCTTTTGTGTGCTTAGTGATGTAGAATTAATCATGTTTTCCAAATGATTACGATTATTTAAGTTACAAGTGTACAAATATCAATGGAACTGTTGGATATTACGTTTTATGTAAATCAGTCAATCAAACTTTATTTGTATAACAAGCTTCACAAGCAACAGAAAAATGACAATAATTAAAAACAACAGCAACTCCACCCCAGTGTTTCATTCATATGTACAACAATTTAAACAGAAACATAAAACATAAACATAAAACATAAACTTAAAGCTCCTAAAGGTTAGGGTAAAAATTAAAATGGAGAGCTAAAATCAGATGAAGTAAAATAGGAATGATAATTTAATTTAAAACAACAGCTACTACAGCTTCTACTGCTGCTACAACTACTACTACAACAACTAACAACTACTACAACAACAACTACTACAGCAACAACTACTACACAACAACAACTACTACAACAACAACTATTACAACTACTACAACAACAACTACTACTACAACAACAACTGTTACAACTACTACAACAACTACAACTACGACAACTACTACAACAACTACTACAACAACAACTACTACTACTACAACTACTACAACAACAACAACTACTACTACAACTACTACAACAACAACTATTACAACTACTACAACAACTACTACTACTACAACTACTACAACAACTACTACTACAACTACTACAACTACTACAACTACTACAACTACTACTACAACTACTACTACTACTACAACAACAACTATTACAACAACTGTTACAACTACAACAACTGTTACAACTACTACAACTACTACAACAACTACTACAACAACTACTACAACAACTACAACTACTACAACAACTACTACAACTACAACAATACACTACTACAACTACTACAACAACAACTACTACTACTACAACTACTACTACACTACTACAACACAACTACTACAACTACTACAACAACTATTACAACTACTACAACAACTATTACAACTACTACAACAACTACTACTACACAACTACACAACTAAACTATTACAACTACTACTACAACTACTACAACAACTACTACTACTACTACAACTATTACTACTACAACTACTACAACAACTACTACTACTACAACTACTACTACTACTACAACTACTACAACAACAACTACTACTACAACAACTACAACAACTACTACAACAACTACAACAACTACTACAACAACTACAACAACTACAACAACTACAACAACACTACAACAACAACTACTACTACAACAACAGCTACAACTACAAACAACTACAACAACAGCTACAACAACTACTACACAACAGCTACAACAACAACTACTACTACAACAACAGCTACAACAACAACACTACTACTACAAACAACTACTACTACTACAACTACTACTACTACTACAACAACTACTACTACTACAACAACAACTACTACTACAACAACAACTACAACAACAACTACTACACAACAACAACTACTACTACAACAACAACTACTACAACTACTAACAACAACTACTACTACAACAACAACTACTACAACAACAACTACTACTACTACAACAACTACACTACAACAACAACAACTACTACAACAACAACTACTACAACAACTACTACTACAACAACTACTACTACTACAACAACTACTACTACAACTACTACTACTACAACTACTACTACTACAACAACTACTACTACAAACAACTACTACAACAACTACTACTACAACAACTACTACTATTACTACTACAACAATTTTTATTAATTTATTATTTATTTTTTTTAAACAAGTAAAAGTTTCCATTAAAAGCTAAATTGAAAAGATATGATTTGAGTTTACTTTTAAAAATATGAACACTCGCAGCGGTCCTCAGGTAGACTGTTCCACAAACGACGTTGGCAATATACTGCAGGTATTACTGTAAAATACATCAGGTAAATGTTTCAAATATGAAATAATAATTGTAATAGAAGCATTTTAATGTATAAAATGTTCTCTGAAGCCAAGCCTGGGTTGTACTTGGATTGGAGACTAGGGATATAACAATCTCCAAATTTCTCGGTGTGATATTTATTGTGATATTTTGTGGAGGTTAACGCAGTTGTGAATATGGGACTTTTTCCTTTTAAAATGTCACAGCAAACCTTTGGTACTGTTATAATACGAAGATAATACAAAGAATTAAGATTTGAAAGTGCTTAATAATGGTTATTTCTTCATGTAGTCTGCATGGAAACAGCAAAGGATCATGGTCTATGTAGTTCCCTCTGCACCACAACAAGGAATTTAAGCAAAGAGACTTGTAATTCGATATATTGTGATGGCCCACGGTATTAAGGTTTTGCATCTACGTCACAAAAGCACGTGACCTGTTGTTTATGCCGCCATATTGGAGGTCAAACTATCTGTCTGGACCAATGTGTAGTATTTGTGTGCGATAAAATAAAAAAACATGCGCTGTGCGTTTTTGTCTTTCGCTGGCATGGAATCTCCCCCTCAATTTCCACTGCCCGGGATAGGTACAGTTCTGATTTTGACCCCCATTCTACTTCCCCTGGCTGTTATCGACGATGTTATGGCTCAGTGATCCACAAACCTGTCACACATCCCGCTACAAAATATTCATAACCCTCTAAACCCTTGTAACTTTTCAGTTCTTGGTTGGTGTAGGATGATTAAGTAGTTATAAATATCTGGATATTGGAGGTTGGGCACAGAGCGAGCGTCAGAATTAGGGATCTATTCCACAACCCAGGAGGATGACTTTAGCATTATATCTTTCTAATGACGGCTAATCTAACGTGCTGGCAGTTTCGGACAGTTTTATGTTGTTTGTGCTCTTTAAAGTAACCATGATTATATTGTAGTAACTGAATAACACGTTCCAGATCATCCCCAACCTTGACTTCCAGTGTGGCTGCCAAAACATTACGTCATGTGACTGCAAATCTTTAATTATTGTATTATTGTATTATTATATAGTGAAACTTTTGACGATACAGTATTACGATATTTCTGTTATTGTTACATTCCTATAGGAGACCGCTAGGAATATCAAATGCCACAGTGGAGCAGCAGTGGTACGAACTGGTGTTATGTCTGTCTGTTGTTGTTAGGCAAGACACTTCACTTGTCTAGTATGAATGTGGTGGCCCGATGACGCTGTTTTGCAGCTTTGCTTTAATCAGTCAGCCCCAGGGCAGCTGCGGTTAAGATACTTTCTTACCATCACAGAATGTGGTCCGCATGAATATTGCATGAAATTGTTAAGTGACTTACGTCTAAGCATCTGAAAAAGCGCTATATAAGACTAATGAAATATTATTGGGTCAGTCCATATGAAATCAGCCGCCCTCCCCAATGAGCCGTCTCAGATTTGGCTGAAAAAAAAAAAAAGACCAAATGTAAGAATCTCAAATTTTAGCTCAATCCATTGAGTTGTTCCTGAGTTATGGCCCATTGAAATTTTGGGGCCATGCTCACAGTTTCGGAAGCCTTAATGTATAAGCATGTTTGAGAGACCATAGCTTCCAAAAAATAGAGCTAGGAAGCTGAAAATTTGTATTATTGTGGATTCTTGGTCTGAATCTGAATCTGTTGTCAAATATTGTGTATCTTGGGGGGGGGGCGCTGTGGGCCCTCAAAGTCTCACATTTGGTTTTCAATTTTTTTTTTTCAATTTTTGAGGTCCAAGATATATTTACTCCAAGCAGATTTTACAAACCAACTGCTGAACCTAAATATTTGAGAGAATGACCATTTCTGACAACAATCTCACACTTTTCTGAGCTTGTGGATGGTGTAGAGCCCCAAATATGGTCACAGACAAAATGTGACCTTTTTGGCCCTTTTTTTGGACACTCGGTTCCCAATATGGGCAAGGGATTGAGCTAAAATTTGAGAGCCTTTCATTTGGTGATTTTAGAAATTTTTTGAAATTTTTTCAGCCAAATCTGAAATGGCTCATAGGGGAGATTCCTTGAAAACAGCTGATTTCATATGGACTGACGGACGGACTATTATTAATCTATAGTCCAAAAAAGTAAACCTCAGTGCTTTTATGTGTCCACTTAAAATGATATAAACAATATTTTACTTTTAAACACATCAGATATTTGAGTTCAATCTCAAGTATAGGTCTGTATTTTGTAAATCTGACCACCGGATTAAACAAAAGACATAATACTTTAAATGTTACTTCTCTGTGTACTCTGCGGACTTTAGTGAAACGGCTATTTAAAAAGTCATTGTCCAAGATATTGTTTTTCCTTATACTATTTTTATCTAGGGGAGTGAATGTAGAACAAAAGAGATTACAAAAACATGCATGAATCACTGTAAGTACAACATTGAGTAAGTTAATGATGTGGGGAACCATTATAACATTGGTCAAAAGTCTTAAAAGTCAATTTTTCATAGTAAGTCTTCTTTTTAAAATCAATATTTAGACATCCTTTTGTTTTTCATCTGTTGGCTTGGAACAGACGTCACTGATTTTGTAAAATTTAACTTCAGATTTTGTAAAATTTCAGTGTTATTGAATCTTCGTGTATGTTGTTATGTGGTCTGTTTTATCTTACTTCTGTCTTGTCTGTGGCAGTCAACTCTGTCCAGATTGTGAAGGTCTTTGTTGTGAAGTGTAGTGAACAAACCAGTCTAGGATTCCCACATTGTCTGGACTGTTGTGTAAATAGCCTTCAAAGTGCAAACCATTTTCAGTTCTAAACCAACTATTAGTCTTATCCTTTCAAATAATTTCCCTTGTGGATCAATAAAGTTGTGTCTACGTCTAAAGGGTGGGTGTGCTGTCTCCACTGTTACCGTTTTAAAAAAGGAACTACAATCACTTCTGAACATGGGTTGCCAGTAGAGATCGACCGATATGGACTTTTTCGTGGCTGACACTGATTGTTTAGACTGCAGAGAAACCGTTGGCCGATAAGCTTTGCTGATACTTAACTGATTTTGTAATTGTATAATTAAATTTTTCTACAAACTCACCAACAGCCTAAGTCGAAAAACCTAAGAGAGCAGTTTAGCCATGGTTTGTGCAGTTATCGCTTTGCAAAAGTTCAAATGAAGTAGGCCGCAAGTAGCCTGATTCATCAGACGGTTTCCACAACGTGAAACCAGCCGATGAAGCTCGCAGCATTAGGATTCGTTTGCTTGACGGTAGCCGGGTACTTTTTAAAATTTAACCAATCGCTGCCGTTTGGTTGTGACGTATCTAATGCGCCGCTATCGGGGGTAACTCATATATTAAACATTTCCCAAACCCCGTAGGAAGAAGGGCAATAACGCCTTTCTACTTGATAAAATTAACCAAACATTCTCTTTGTTCCGGCTTTAAATCCTTGACCTCGGGAATCGTTTCCAATGGAATGACTCTTCGCTGATTGACTGGTGCCCAAACTTGCACTTCCGGGGTTCTTGCAAACCGTCTAGTGTATTCCGATTCCTGACTTAGTCTCTGGAGAGAAATTAAACTGAGCAGAGGCACTAAGTAAGTCAAAACAAAGTATCGGCCTCTGCTTGAAATTTAATCCTGAAAAGCTAAAAAGTGCAAATATCAGCCTGATAAATCGACCTCGGCCTATTTCTAGTTGCCAGTGCCTTGCAGACTTCATTCTCAGTTTATGTACAGACCAGGCCTCGTGAAAGCTCAGAACCTCCAGAATTCCCTCACTAAGCTGCAAAGGCTGCACTAGCACTGATTCATTACTGGCTGAAGATGCTGGGGTTTAGGTAGTGAGGATACAGATCAGACATCAAATGATAATGTCAACTTGTCCATTATGTTGAATCTTTTTTGAAAGAACCCAAACTCCATGATAATTATTTTAGAATTACAGATGTCTTCCTTGTCCTGTATTTTCCATGTAAGTGACGATGCGTTTGTGGTCCTGTAGGATTTGGCCCGCTCTGGTGCTGCTCCTCTTGCCCCCCGGTGTGGAGTCCCAAGCAGAGGCCTCCTTCCTGAATACGTGGCAGGAGTTTTGGCTCTTCCGGTTCCTGGTCAACGTGCTCGGATACTCCACCATCATCATCCCCGGATACCTGCTCATCCGATACTTCAAACGCTCCAACTATTTAGATACAGGTACGAATACACACATGTACTTTGTTGTGGAAAAGTACTTGGGAAGAGGGAATGTGGTAAGGCCAGTAGATGTGTACAAACACCAAAAAGCCTAAAACCTAAAAGAAAAGACTAGTGTTGTAGTCAAGACCGCACTAATTGAGACCAAGACCTGTCCGAGAACACAGGGTCCCAACCAAGACAAGACCAAGACCTCTGAGGGTCGAGGCCGAGACGAGACCGAGACCTCTGAGGGTCGAGGCCGAGACGAGACCGAGACGAGACCAAGACCTCTGAGGGTCGAGACCGAGACTGAGACCAAGACGAGACCAAGACCTCTGAGGGTCGAGGCCGAGACAAGACCAAGACCTCTGAGGGTCGAGGCCGAGACAAGACCAAGACCTCTGAGGGTCGAGGCCGAGACAAGACCAAGACCTCTGAGGGTCGAGGCCGAGACAAGACCAAGACCTCTGAGGGTCGAGGCCGAGACAAGACCAAGACCTCTGAGGGTCGAGGCCGAGACCAGACCAAGACGAGACCGAGACCTCTGAGGGTCGAGGCCGAGACCAGACCAAGACGAGACCGAGACCTCTGAGGGTCGAGGCCGAGACCAGACCAAGACGAGACCGAGACCTCTGAGGGTCGAGGCCGAGACCAGACAAGACGAGACCGAGACCTCTGAGTGTCGAGACCAAGACGAGACCAAGACCTCTGAGGGTCGAGACCAAGACGGAGACCAAGACGGAGACCAAGACGGAGACCAAGACGGAGACCAAGACGGAGACCAAGACGGAGACCAAGACCTCTGAGGGTTGAGACCGAGACAAGACTGACCACAGCCCATCGAGAGCAAATCAAGACCATCTTTGTCATTTTAAACATTTATTTGTATTTTACAGTTATTCCAGCTCCTTCTGACCCTGGCTCCAATTGACTTACATTAGGATCTTGTCGCCCCTCTCTTTGTACCTGCTGTCATTTTGGTCTTAAAATTTTCATATTAACTCGCTCTACATGATTTTTATTTATTTTTTTGCTAATTTGTCCGTCAAAAAAATCGTATTCATAACATATAGCCTCGCGAGCTTCATTTGAGTAGTGCTGAACGCTATGGGTGACGTCACACACTTAGTCCACTTTTTTTAGTTGAACCATTAGACTGTATAATAAAAGTGGACTATGTGATAGTATAAATCTTTGTTAAAACACCTCTTGAGCAAAGTTCAAGAGGTAAAACACGCTCATTTTAATCATCAAAACAGTGAAAATGTCAAATGTTGTGTGTTGCATAAACAAGTTTCCTTCCTCTAAAGAAGCAACAAAACTGTAGCAATGTAACAAAATAATTTAGTCAAATATACCAAAAAATACAATATATCAATACAGCAAACCAAAATATTTCAATATTTTTGCACACCCGTAGACACAATGGAGGGCGTGTGGACCAGAGTGATCCATCTGTATAAAAAAAAAAAAAAAAGAGAGAGATGTCATTGTGGATTTAAGACTAGTTTATGAGGTCATTCCTTGGATTGTCCACGTGTAAAAACAAAATGGCAGGTGTAATATATTCTGCCAGCATGAGTATAACTATGGTAGATTTATTGCTTTTGAAAGAAATAACTAAATTGAAAAAATGCAATCCAATTAGTCTGGGTCTACAATCTGGCAGTAATAATCTTGCATCCTTTCAATTGACAATAATTCTTTAGTAAGTTATTTGTCACCTCAGGATCTCCTAAAAAACATGTGCTTGTTATTTCACTTCAGCGGTGATCCAGCGAGCGCTCCAACTACATCTATTTTTGTGACAATAATTGTGTGTTTGAATACAGTCACAGCTAGAGGCTCGGTAAACAATACTGTCTGGATTCCTCATCGTTGGTGTCACTGTTTCCTGCAACTACTTTTTGCTGAGTTGTGCGAAAATTAATGCATATTTAAAGATAAGAAGTCAACAGGAAGTTTCAAGTTGAACGTGATAAAAATTCAATTCAAGTTGATTTATGTTGCACATGTAAAACAACTTCAGCTGACCAAAGTGTTTCACATAAACAGTTACATATACAGTACTTATATACAGAAATACAGATGTGAAAACTACAATAAAACACCAACATAACCTGACTCACTCGTACTATACGTCAGAGAGAAGAGGTGAGTTTTCAATCTAGTCTTAAACTTCGTTACAGACTGAGAGGATCTGACAGGAAGAGGAAAGTTGTTCACAGAAAATGAGAAAATGCTCTGTCACTTCTCGTCTTGAGCCGAGTTTTGGGTACAACAATCATTTGTTCATTCGTTTTTCAAAATAAAACCAAAAATTTGAAAATGAAAAAACAATACTTTACTTCATTATTTGTCTCCAAAACCGAAATGAAAAACGGATAATGATTTGTTTTTTCAGTTTTCGATTTTGTGTTTAAATGAATAATGGCCGTTTCCCGTTTTCGTGTTTTAAACTGCGATGCCGAACTGAACCAGGACTGAACCAGGTCTAAAACTGGACTAAAACTGGACTAAAACTGGACTAAAACTGGACTGAAACTGGACTAAAACTGGACTAAAACTGGACTAAAACTGGACTAAAACTGGACTGGACCAGGACTGAACCAAGACTGAACCAGGACTAAACTGGTCTCAGTCCTGATCATCCAACAGTCTACACGGGTGCACCTCAAGGCCCCTCCCGACACTCCTGTTTTAGTCCTGGTTGAGTCCTGTTTTAGTCCTGGTTGAGTCCTGTTTTAGTCCTGGTTGAGTCCTGTTTTAGTCCTGGTTGAGTCCTGTTTTAGTCCTGGTTGAGTCCTGTTTTAGTCCTGGTTGAGTCCTGTTTTAGTCCCGGTTGAGTCCTGTTTGAGTCCTGTTTTAGTCCTGGTTGAGTCCTGTTGTCCTGTTTTAGTCCCGGTTGAGTCCTGTTTTAGTCCCTGGTTGAGTCCTGTTTTAGTCCTGGTGAGTCCCGTTTTAGTCCTGGTTGAGTCCCGTTTTAGTCCTGGTTGAGTCCCGTTTTAGTCCTCGTTCAGTCCTGTTTTAGTCCTCGTTCAGTCCTGTTTTAGTCCTCGTTCAGTCCTGTTTTAGTCCTCGTTCAGTCCTGTTTTAGTCCTCGTTCAGTCCTGTTTTCCTATTTCATTATTCATTTTTTTTCCATCATTCATTTAAACACAAAATTGAAAACTGAACGAATCGTTATCTGTTTTTCATTTTGGTTTTGGAGACAAATAATGAAGAAAATAGTATTTATTTATTTTTCTTATTTTTGGTTTTATTTTGAAAAACGAATGAACAAACGATACACGGATTTACGACCAACAGGAGCTGGTCAGCTGATCTCAGGGCTCTGGGTGGAGAACAGGACTGCAGTAACTCCCTCAAATAGACCGGACTAGACCCAACCCAAAAAATACACAATTAAAATGAATCCTTCAGCGGAGGACACGTCTGTGTTTAGAAAGAGAGATACTTGTGTCTCAATGCTAATTTTGAGGCATAACAAAAATAAAATAAAATAAGACCATGTATTTATTTTAATTAATTTGACTTTCAGTTTCTTGAAATGAGTGCGTTGGAGGAGAGGGAGCAAACCAAGAACCATGAGAAAAAACCCAAACACTGTCTTATTTGCAAATTGTGAAATTTATTAGGACATACACTACCAGTCAGAAGTTTTAGAACACCACACTTTTCCATTTTTTTACTGTTTACTGTTGCCCAAAACGTATTCTAAACTTTTGATTCATAGAGAAAAATTCTGAACACCGTCTACAAGAAGATGCTTAGATTAAAGTCATCGTTGAGTCCTTTTGGAGCTAAAGTTTGGAGGGTGTGAATCCAAAATGCTTCCCTTTGTTTAAGTATACGGTCATGGTCCCCTCCTCTGAGTGGAGGGGGGACATGCTCAGTGCCACAGAAACAGAAAGTAATGTTGTGTCTCTGATCATTAAAGTGTACTGCTACAGGATAATCCCGGTCATTCCTTCTGATGGAGATCTTGTGCTCACTTATTCTTTATTTGAGCTTCCTTGTGGTTTACCATTACCAACACCACACTTTTTCCAGTTTTTTACTGTTTACTGTTGACCAAAATGCATTCTCAACTTTTGATTCATAGAGAAAAATCCCAAAAATCACACACAGTCTTACTTGCAAATTGTATGTTCTTGGGCTGCTCCCTCTCCTCCAACGCACCCGTCTCAAGTAATTGATGTGGGAAGTTCTCATTCTTTTTAAACTTTTGATTCATGAAAGTGTCCACCTTTGGCAGATATAACAGCTGAACACACTCGTGGCTCGTTCTTTTTACAATAGAAATCAAATATTCTTCAGAAAGTTCTTCCCAAGTCTGTTGCAGAAGTTCCCATAAATGTGTGGCACTTGTAGGTTTCTTGGCTTTCACTCTTCTGTCCAGTTCATCCCAAACCAGCTCGATGGGGTTTAAATCTGGACACTGTGCTGGACACTCCATGTTTTCAAGTTTACCGTCTTGTTCTTTTTTCCTGAGGCAGTTTGGGCAGAGCTTGTGTGGACTTGTGTTTTGTTATTTTATCTTTTTTTTTTAACCTCTGTCTGCTCAGTACTTAGCTTTGTACCATTTCACGCTCTTGCACGACTTGAATTGCAATAAATAACTGGAAAAATGAGGGTGTTCTAAAACTTTTGATCGATAGTATAGGACATTTTCTCTGTGTTCTTGAGCTTTAAGACACTAAAAATGATTTCACCTTCGTTATTTGTGCTGACAGATAATTAGGAAGTTGCCAGTCCTAGTAATTACAGAGATATTAATCATAAACCAGAGTGGAAAATCTGCGACAGCAAATTCTACCCAAGAACTCTGACCTGTCCCCTCTCGGGAACAATGTGGCGCAGTTTCAAATGTCGTAATGTCAAGTGAAGGCAGCTTTCATACTCAAGCACTCAGTCAAATCCTGCTTTATTACCCTGTTAACATTTATCGAGTCTCTCCTCTCCTGCATCGTTAAGACTTATCACCATTTCTACTTTTCTTTTTTAGGCAGCGGACTTTGCTTCCCGGTCATAAAGGCCTGTGTGTTTGGAAACGAAGCCAAGGCGAGTTTGATAGATGACGGCTCCGTCTCGTCTCGCAACGACCCAGACTCGGGCTCGTCCGTCAAGCAGATCATCAAGCTCCTGGTGTGCGCGGCCGGACTCCAGGTAAAATCCGTGCCTCCACCCGCTGCGCACGTCCACCTGCAGCGTGTCGTGTTTGTGCAGGCAAATCCAAACAGTATTTAAATTTAATGATGGGATTATAGGCCCAGCGCGGGGTGGTTACTGCGGTAATAAAGGAGGGGCACCATATTTGACTACGGTTGTGTTAGTAGTTAGAATTTTTATGATTTTGCAAATATTTATTCAGTTTTATGAGCATGCAGAATCCCAAAGAAAAGACCCTAACGATAAGGAAGTCATAATTGAAAGCAGTCCGTTCTATTTAAGGCCACAGAATGTAACATTTTTGCCAAAAATATTAACAATAATTATAATTTTGGTTGTGTTTATTGCACTGAGAAACATGTGTCCTTACTCTGTGAGGGCTCGCATCTCCACAGACCTGACTCTTACTGGAGGTTTACAGATTCTAGTATGTGATGATAGGGACAAGGGGTAGATTTTCCTCTTGATAATGCTGCACTTTGCCTTGAGATATCCAAAAGGTAAATTCACAAATGTTGAACTTGATCAATCCGTGTATCATTCGTTCCTTTTTTTTTTTTTTCAATATAAAACCAAAAATAAGAAACCAAAAAAACTACTATTTTCTTCATTATTTGTCTCCAAAACCAAAATGAAAAAACTGAATGATTTGTTTTTTCAGTTTTTAAACTAAAATAAACCAGGTCCGGGACCAGACTGGAACAGACCAGGACTGAGACCAGGACCGAGACTGGGACCAGACTAGGACCAGACCGTGATTGAGCCTGAGCCTCAGACCGGGACCAGATAGGGACTCAGACCAGGATCAGACTGGGACCAGACCAGGACTAAGACCGGGACTGAGACCGGGACCAGATCGGGACTGAAAACGGTTCAGTCCTGGTTCAGTCTGGCATCACAGTTTAAGTCACGAAAATGGGGAACGTTCTCCATTTTTGGGACTGAGACCGGGACTGAGACCGGGACTGAGACCGGGACTGAGACCGGGACTGAGACCGGGACTGAGACCGGGACTGAGACCGGGACTGAGACCGGGACTGAGAACTCGTTTTCAGTCCCAGTTCAGTCCGGCATCACAGTTTAAGTCACGAAAAGGGGGAACGTTCTCCGTTTTTTCCATTCTTCATTTAAACACACAATCTAAAACTGAAAATACGAATCATTATCTGTTTTATCATTTTGGTTTTGGAGACAAATAATCAAGAAAATTGTTGTTTTTTCGTTTTCTTATTTTTGGTTTTATGTTGACAAACGAATGATACACAGATTTTGATCGATCGATATGAGTGACTCAAAAATTACTAATCCTTCTGTCATATACTGAATGATAAGTTGACATAGTAATTACCATGACAGGCCTACACTTGAAGTAAGTTACTTTCCCCTTAAATCTTTAATCATGCTTATTGGCAAAATTCCAGTCCTCAGAGGCATAAGTGTGTGTGTATGTAAACATCAGACGAGTCCTTAAATGCACTTTGACATAAAGAAACATTTCATCTTATCTGCCAGGAAGGAGGTTCAGATAACAGCGATACATAAAAAGGAGCATACTAATCTTTATATTCTGAGCCAAGGTCATGTTTACTATAAGAAAAAGTAGGTTACGCTGCTTTTTTATTTAAATCTCTAACCCTAAATTTTAAAAAGTCAAATAAAAAATAAGAACAAAATTGGAAAACACTTGTAAGGTTACACTTTAGTCCTACTTACAGTCTAGTCTGGTTTAGTGTTAAAGTTTAGATTTTTATTAAGTTTAATCAGTAAAACACGGGAGTACTGTTTTGAATAGGGCTGGGTATCATTAAGAAGTTGCCGATACGATACATACCTTGATGCATTGGCCACGATGCGATACAGTGCACTTTTGATTTGATACGATATATTTCAAATGAATTCGATACTGTTCAATAAAGAATAACAGCTAAATCATGGCTGTGATACTTAGTCTTTGTGAAACTACTTCTTGTGCAAATTTAATATGAAACAAACATTTTAATCATCAAAACAGTGAATATGTCAAATGTGCTGCATAAATGAGTTTCCTTCCTCTAAACAAGCAACAAAACTGCAGCGCTGTAAGAAAATAATTTAGTAAAATATACCAAAAATTACGCTTGGCGATATATTGATACAGCAGCCCACGATATTGAAATTGTATCATCACATTAAACGATACGATATATCGATATTTTAATATTTTTGCACACCCCTAGTTTTGAAGGTGCACTGTGTAACTTTTCCAGTGAAGCATCTGCCATCAGGTCAAGTTACAAGTCTGATCTGTGGACAGGCGAGTCCACACAAAGCAAAGAATGTATATAATTGAATACTTGCAACATCGTCAAGTTTAATGACATACTAACGTTAAACTTGACTACAGCGAGCTGAATATTTGAATTGAATCATGTGCTTATTCCTCCTTTTTTTTTAAATATACTGTAAATTCACTGTTTCTGCATAAATACATATTTTTACATGAGGAGTTCACGCACATCCCGTTTTAGTTAATGATGTTAATGAGTTTAATCGATCAGCAGGGCGTGTCTTTAGTCAACCAAGAATTTCTTTAATCTACTACAGTCCTAGTACAATATTAAAGCAGTACTGAGTAACATTTTACCTTATTAAACATCATTGTCCTTGACTGTCTTGTTGCCTTGCAACATGGGAGACATCGATCCACAGAGAATACTCCTGAGAAACATGTGATTATATTGCATTCAATAAAAAAGAAAAGAGAGAGGAAAAAAAAAAAACACTTTTGAGGCTATACTCAAATAAAGGTCTTTGAAATTGCACTTTCCACAGTCCTTCAAAGATGCCCTCGTGTTTGAAGAGTAGAATTTTCAAGCAAATTCAAGCCCCCAGAAATCTGTGATAAACCAAAAATACATGTGAAAAAGTCCAGATTCTACAAGTACATTTGCCAAATTTTAACCCTTGAAACTCTGAAGGACCGACCTTAAATAGTTTTTCAGATACAGCGATCTTAAAGTGGCTCCTTGGAAAACTCTGCTCAAAACAGGTCAAGGGGAAGACAAAATATTTTTTTATTACAAAACTATAAAGAGTTGGAAGCTAAAATTTGGGACTTTTCCTATTGTAAAGTGTGTGAACCTCCTAGAATTTTTTCAGTCAGATCTGAGATGGTCGAGCGGGGTCATTGGGAGATTTGTCGTGGAATGACCCGTGTCGTGTAGTTTTCTACCTTCTATCTTGCACCCTCTTTACTAACTCCTCCTCCTCTGTGTCTCCCGCCAGGTGTCCTACCTGACCTGGGGCGTCCTCCAGGAGCGCGTCATGACCCGCTCGTACGGCGGCCAGTCCCCCGAGGACGAAGGCGAGCGCTTCAAGGACTCCCAGTTCTTGGTGTTCATGAACCGCATCCTGGCCCTCACCGTGTCCGGCCTGTGGTGCCTCCTCTTCAAACAGCCTCGTCACGGCGCTCCCATGTACAAGTACTCCTTCGCCTCGCTCTCCAACATCATGAGCAGCTGGTGTCAGTACGAAGCGCTCAAGTTCATCAGCTTCCCCACGCAGGTCCTGGCCAAGGCGTCCAAAGTTATCCCCGTCATGCTCATGGGGAAAATCATATCCAAAAAAGAGCTACGAATACTGGGAATACCTCACCGCCGTGTTGATTTCGCTGGGTGTTAGCATGTTTCTCCTCTCGAGTTCGACCAACAAGCACCCGTCTACGGTTACGACGTTCAGCGGCGTGATCATCCTCGCAGGGTACATCGTTTTCGACAGCTTCACGTCCAACTGGCAGGACAACCTTTTCAAATACAAGATGTCCTCCGTGCAGATGATGTTCGGAGTCAACCTCTTCTCGTGTCTCTTCACCGTGGGATCGTTGCTGGAGCAGGGCGCGTTTTTCGAATCGCTCTCCTTCATGGTGCGACATTCGGAGTTCGCTTTTCACGCCGTTTTGCTGTCCGTGTGCTCGGCTTGCGGTCAGCTTTTTATATTCTACACCATCAACCAGTTCGGGGCGGCGGTGTTTACAATCATCATGACGCTACGCCAAGCCATCGCCATCCTCCTCTCCTGCTTCCTCTACGGACACGCGGTCACGCTCGTCGGGGGATTCGGGATTTTTACGGTTTTCCTGGCGCTGTTTTTACGAGTGTACGCGCGGAGTCGCATGAAGGCCAGCCGCAGATCAGCGCAGCCCATGGCACAAAAAGTGTAAAAAAAAAAGTCAAATAGTAAAAAGTGAACTCAAGCCACGTTTTTGGTGGCTTCTATCCCTCTCGTTTTGTTTTATTTTATTTTGTTACTTATCAGGTGCACTGTGTAACTTCTAAGGCAGAGGGTCTGGTACGGGCTTGTTGTCTCCATGGCGATGTTATCTCTTTACCTGGAATGTTACATGGTAGGGCATTAAACGCATCTCCCTTGCATTTAGTGGAACTTAAAGCAGAATTACAGGTGTTTTTTAGCTCAAAAATACTTCCAAGTTTATTTCCATACTGTGGAATAATCAAGGCAAAACCGTAATGTCCATGGAGACCAGCAGATGGCGGACGCTCCACCAGAAAGGTTACACAGTGCAGCTTTAACAGTACAAAAAAAGGGATTTTACGGTACTGGAATAGGTCAACGTGCTTTCTTAAGGAGGAGTTTGAGTGCCTGAAAGTTAAATGCTTCGAACATTGTTTATTTACATTTACATTTACATATTTTAATTTAATTGCGTACTTTTCACATCGGTTTGGCCTATTACTAATGGTCGGTCATTCACACAAGCGACATGTTTCAGTTCAATCGTCTAAATGGACTTGGAGAGACATATTATGTTAAAATGATTAACTTTTATTGCTTTGAATGGTCATAAACTAATTTAACTATTAGTAATTTATGTGTTACTACATTTACACAGATTACCCCTGTGTTCAAGTCCACATGCCGGACGATACAGACCTTTTTCACGTCGGCTGGAAGTGTCGTGATGTAGGGTAAACGTAAATCAATAAAAGATAAGTAGTAAGTAATTCGTTAATAAGTAACTTGTTAACTCAGACTGATTGTACAATTAAAATAAAAAATCTATTTCATGATTTAGATAGTAGCATTTGTGCAGTTTGAATGCTACAGATGTTCAGAGATTACATGTTTCACATTTAAACTGCACAAATCTCTCTGTCTATGCTAATATCTACATCATGAAATTGTTTTTTAATTTTAATTGCAGCATCAGTCTGAGTTAACAAGTTACTTATGTTTTATTCATGACCATAATGTTAGTTTTGCTCAGGAGTAGTTTACTAATGCTCATCGTTGTTCTTCGTTACGTATTCATCTTTCTTACCTTGATAGTTGTGGATAAATTCTTCATGGACAGAATATGTCCTTTGTCAACTTTGTTGAAAATTTGGTGGTGGAGCAGGTTTATGAAGCTGGTGGTAAATATGTGAGACATTTCCACAGATATTTTGACATAGAAAAGCATTAATTGGGCGTTACGTTTACCCGTGAAAAAGTGAAAAAGGTCTATTGTTTACTGACATTATCTTATCATTTCAGAGCTGTTTCTTTGCTTGCGTCATTCTAGTAATGAGTCCAAACTGTTAATTTTTATTTTATTTTTTTTAATTCATTTTTTTACTATTTTAAACTTCTTCACTCACTAAATGTAGAAGAAATCTTTGCACAAGTTTGCATTTTTCACACTACTCAATCATTCAGTTCCAAAATATGAAATTACTTTGTAAAGGTAAAATGTAGATATTTTCAGAATTTAAAAGTATTTAAAAGATGAGAATAAAACATAATATGTCTTCTTCAAATGTCTTATTCTGAAACCCAGAGGCCTTTTAACTTAATGTGAGCTTTATTTTGAAAAGCTACAACACACACTGCTTATTTTAACACTGTTAGTTTAGCATAATTGGGAGTTTCAAAATATTGTTTACATTGTTTTTATCGGAACAGTTTTTTGTTCTGTTTTTAATATATATGTATCCATGCAATATTAATATAAAATTCCAATATTTATGTTTTTACACAAAAGTGCATGTCAATAAATTAACTAAACATATTTTATTAGATCAAATTAAAGGGGCCCATATTATTCTATTTTCTGATCTGTTAAAATACTGAGTTCCGACTCTCACTTCTGACTCTGAGTTGAGACTGAGTTGAGACTGAGTTGAGACTGAGTTGAGACTGAGTTGAGACTGAGTTGAGACTGAGTTGAGACTGAGTTGAGACTGAGTTCAGACTGAGTTCAGACTTGAGTTTTCTGAGTTCAGACAGTTTTACTCAGTTTAGACAGAGTTTTGCTGAGTTTAGACAGAGTTTTGCTGAGTTTAGACAGAGTTTTGCTGAGTTTAGACAGAGTTTTGCTGAGTTTAGACAGAGTTTTGCTGAGTTTAGACAGAGTTTTGCTGAGTTTAGACAGAGTTTTGCTGAGTTTAGACAGAGTTTTGCTAAGTTCAGACCCTGAGTTCAGACCCTGAGTTCAGACTCCGAGTTCTGACAGAGTTTTGCTGAATTCTGACAGAGTTTTCCTGAGTTCAGACTCTGAGTTCAGACTCTGAGTTCAGAGTTTTACTGAGTTCAGAGTTTTACTGAGTTCAGAGTTTTACTGAGTTCAGAGTTTTACTGAGTTCAGAGTTTTACTGAGTTCAGAGTTTTACTGAGTTCAGAGTTTTACTGAGTTTTACTCTCTAACTGAAAACGCTGTCTCACCTTGTGATGTCATGTGGCAATACGCGAAGTACTCCATTGTGTTTTTAAACTCCATACATCTCTACTTATTTAAAGGTAAAAAGTAGCTGTTGAAAGCTCCCACTGCATGACATCACAAGGTGGAACAGAGCGTTTTGAGCTTGAGGAGGTAATAACATTATAACATGGCTTAAAGCTCACAAGAATCCGTTTTGTTTAATATAGGCCCTTTAAAGTAACATTAGTTTATTGAGATGCACATGTTTACATTTACGTTATTATTTTATTTTAACTGTTTGAGTATACTCCTCGTACTGATAGTATTTCATTGTTCGAGTTCTATAGAACCTTCATTTTCATGTTTTATTTGTTTCAGATTTTACTAAACGTTTTACTAAATCCTTGTAAATATAACTTGAAGAAATTCTTTATGGACTTTTATAAGACTCTTCACATGTGAATGTTTGGGAGACGGGGGGACACAGTGCATTAAAAAGATATGAAGTGTGTTCTGAAACTTGTTTTAATATTTTGTCGGAGTTATAATAATAAAACACATTAAAAGTGAATTAAAACATGAGTGTATGCAGATTTTGTGTCTAGTTAAAGGGCTCATATTATGCAATTTTTTGTTGTATCTTATAATGTTTCCTCATCACAAGAAATACAAAGTTAAAACCATAATTACAGACATTTTCGATAGAGATAAATAAGTCTTATGCCATACTCTGGAAGATTATAGCCGAAGGCACATTTCCATTAGCCAGGCTGGTTCCACCTACTGCCTCCGGTCAATTTAATTTGTCTCCAGTGACTAGGTCAGGAATCAAAATACAAAAGACACTTTGCAAGAAGTACAAGTTCGGGCACCAGCCAATCAGCGGAGACCCATACATTATGTATTGGCAACGAGATCGAGGATTTAAAGCTGGAACAAAGAGAATGTTTGTTGAATTTCATCAAGGGGAAAGACGTTATTGTCCTCCTTCCTATGGGATTTGGGAAAAGCTTAATATACCAGTTAGTCCCATTAGCAGCACATTACATACGTCACGACCAAATAGCAGCGATTGGTTAAATTAAAACGTACCCGTCTACCATCGAGTGAACAAATCCTAATGTGAAACCAGCTGATGAATCAGGCTCAGTTAAAGGGCCCATATTACACAATTGTTTAATATATTTTATAATGTTAAACAGACCTGGAGTTGTGTTTTGTTTCATTCACATGTTTATAAACACTTCTTCTCTGAAATAGAAAACGCACTGTTCCACCTTGTGATGTCATGTGGTACATGTGATACATGTAGTCCTCCAGTGTGTTTTTAAACTCCATACACCTTCACTAGAATCATTTGGATAATTTCAGCCTTGAAATTGCCAATTTCTCTGAATTAAAGGTAAAAAGTAGCTATTTCTTATTATTAACTTGAACAGTACTACTTCATGACATCACAAGGTGATGATGAGTGTTCTGATCTTTGGGGATGTAGACAGACTAATAAATAAAACATGTGAATGAAACAAACCACAACTCTAAGTATGTTCTGAGGAGATAACATTATAACATGGCCTATAGCTCCTTTAACAAGAACTGTATTTTTTTGCCAACTTAAAGTCATAGTATGTAACTTTTTTTTTTTTTTTTTTTTTTTAACCTACTTTTACATTGTGGTTGTGTTTATTGGGGTGAAAAACATACTTTTAACTCACCTTTATTTCTAGAGCTACTCAAACAGATAAACAGTGACAAATGCAATGACAGGTACAGGTAAAATATAATACAATACAAATACATGTAAAAAGTCAACCCTCAAACTGAGTTAAAAGCCAAGGGGGGAAAAAAAAGAGTTTTTAGGAGGGCCTTAAAAAGAGGCAGTGAGTCAGTCAGCCCGATGTGCAAACATAAAAAACAGGTCATTCCACACCAAATCTCCAAATGCCCCCACTCGACCATCTCAGATCTGACTGAAAAAATTCTAGAAGGTTCACACACTTTACAATAGGAAAAGTCCAAAATTTTAGCTCCCAACTCCTTATAGTTTTGTCATTAAAAATATTTTGTCAATTCTGCCCTAACCTGTTTTGAGCAGAGTTTTCCGATGAGCCACTTTCAGATCGCTGTATCTGAAAAACTATTTAAGGTCTTCAAATTTTCAAGGGTTAAAATCTGGCAAATGTACTTGTAGAATCTGGACTTTTACACATGTGCTTTTGGTTTATGAAATATGAGGGCATCTTTTGAACCTCTGTCTTTGAAGTTTCAAAGACAGAGGTTTGATATTGAACATACACCTTCCACATGCTGTGTACTTTGTATTTTAAAACTGAGCCTCTGGGATGAACACTCTAGAAGATATTAAGTGTTAAAAATGGGGAAAAAAAAAAAAGTTGGTGCCATCTTTACCATGTTATACCAAAAAAATGACAGCACCCACCAACATAAAGTGGACCATTTTAGAAAGACTAGATGTCTGTTTTTAACATTTCCAAAATTTGTGATGGTGTTCTGTCTTATTTTCACAAAATTTGTTTAAAAATGTGGTGTTTGCATTAATGTACATCATTCACAGACACACACAGCTCAGGTTGAGGGGGGTATTCGGAGATTTGGCGTGGAATGACCAAAATGTATTGTGAGCAGGCTTGCATCTCCACAAACCTGACTCTTATTTGGCCTGCGTGTTTGTTGGAAATGTGCCTTTAGCTATAATCTTCCAGAGTATGGCATAAGACTTATCTATCTACATCGAGAATGTTTGGAATTACTGTTTTAACTTTGCATTTCCACAGAATTTCTTGACTTCACGCCTCCAGAAAGTTATAAACTATTGTCACTTTAAAACCGTTTGTCAATTTCAAAACACATAATTGTACAAGTTGACATTAACGTTGGGTATTTCCCTGCCACCACCCTGCTATCAGCGTTTTCACACATAGCCCTTCTTTATGTCTAATTCCTACGCACTCTCAAGGTCGTCTGTGAAGGTGTCGTGATGTCTGCTCTGAAACCACAAGCCCCTGTCTGCGACCCTTGACCTTTTGGGACTGCACCACTGGAGGAGGTTTGTCTGCTGGGGTTGTGCTACTTGTTTTACTCCTCACAAATTTCCAATATAGAGGTTCTCCCAGTATCTGATATTCCTATAGACAGTGTGTTTTGCTGTTGAAAGTGATTTTATTGTAATTTTATTGTTAATAATCCCTATTTTTTTTAGTCTAGTGCTTAGTTATTTTGCAAGTAGTTTTAAGATCAAGCAAGAGGAGTTGGGATCTCCGCTTGCAGATTTGGATTTGTGAAATGTAAGGCACAAAATGAGCGGACACCAGTACGAGCACAAGGCGAGACGAGCCCAGGTCAAGAGTCATAACAGACCGTCAACCAAAAAGTTACATAGTGCACCTTTAATATTTGAGAAAACTGTTTTGTTAACTGTGTGACCAAGGTAGCTGCTGAACATTCCATCATAGACATACATGTAGAGATCGATTCAGGGTTCCCGCGGTCATGGAAATCCTAGAAAAGTTATAGAAATTTGTAAAAATTCTATGAAAGTTTTGGAAAAGTCATGGAATTTTAGCATCTCTTTCACACAACTTTTCATTAGGCTATTATGTTTATTTCCGAACGTATGCGTCTTTTGTTTAAAAGAGACGACAATAAATGCACTGACAGTATTTTGAATGTTAAAAAAACTATAAAACCAAACCCTAAGGTGAGTGGAAAGAGTTAACATTTCACATTTAACCCTAAAATTCTGATGAATTCTACACATGTAGGTGCTGTAAAGTCATGGAAAATTCACTTCAGGTCATGAAAAGTCATGGGAAAGTTTTGAAATGTTGTCAGTGAAAAAGAGTGGGAAGCTTGTTAATACTGTTCATACAAATATTGGTGGTTTTCGCAATGATAGTGCCAAATAGAGCATAAGAGACATTTACATATTTAAAACACTGGACATTGCCATAAATTTCAAAAGGGAAATTCACAAATGTTGTACCTGATCATTTCTATTTTTGACTATAGTACAACAAAAAACAGTTGCTTTTTAACAATATTAATTTTACTCCCATCTTTATTAAATAATATTGGTCAATAGAATGTTGTGACGTCTGAAACCCAGCAACAAGTCGTCAGAGTACGCTCAAGTATCCCGGTCATGATCTGTTTTTTTGAGGATCCTGGTTATGTGAGTGTCCATGCACACGCAGTATCCTGGTTTCAGTCTCCTGGATAAACCAGTATCCCGATTATGAGAAACTGATACTGTGGCATGTAGACGCAGTATCCTGATTTCTCAAAACCGGTGCTGTACTGAGCATGTGCGAACTCAAGTAACAAAAACAGTAGGAGCAGTTATTTTCCCAAAACGACACAAACATCTACCAGGACTTTTTAAATGATAATATCCATCCATCCATTTTCTTCCGCTTATCCGGGGCTGGGTCACAGGGGAAGCAGTCTAAGCAAAGATCCCCCAGACTTCCTTCACCCCAAACACTTCCTCCAGCTCCTCAGAGGGGACCCCAAGGCGTTCCCAAGCCAGCCCAGAGACACAGTTCCTCCACCGTGTCCAAGGTCTTACCCGGGGCCTCCTTCCGGTGGGACACGCCCAAGCCACCTCAACTGGTTCCTCTCGAGCAGTGGCTTTACTCCGAGCTTTGAGTAATAATATGTTATACTTATAAACAAAATAAAGCTGTCTACTTTTTAATACAGCAGCCTTTTAACCCCAAGCTCACCTCTGTGGTAGATCAACACAACTCTTGAACTAAACTGACTCTGTGACACTGTGTTGTATTTTTCAACTGTTTAAAACAACTTTTACTGAAGTTGTGTCAAAGCTCCACAATTTCATGTTCTTACTTGAATGTATGTCTTCTTTTTTGTTGTTAGAAACCTCGTAAAAAGCCCTAAGAGTGCCAAGTTTCTACATGTTTAGCTCCTTGCCATATCTGTGCCATAGTTACCATAGAAACCATTGCAAATATCCATGACACTCTGATGAAGCACGTGCACAAAAATATGAGTATCCTGGTTTCTCTGAGCGCACGTAAACGCTAAAACCAGAACACTGTCATAACCAGGATAAGACTCATAACCGGGATACGCACTCATTTGTTGGCGTTAGTAATAAGAGCACTACTATTAGCAATAAAAGTAGTGATAGTAGTTGTATCGTGGACTTTATGTCTGTAATGGTGCGGTCGCAGACATGTCATGGAATCGACTGAACGGTTTTCAGGTCGTGTTTTGACTCCCCCGTGCCCTTTGACCTTTAGGACCTTCACACTCACTGTTACTGTAGCAGTGGAAACGGTGAGGGTGGGGTGTCTGTACATTTGGTTGACTCAGAACCTCCAAACGTAGATCCAAACAAGTACTTGAGTAAAAGACAACAACACATTCCACAAACTTTACATCAGTTTGATCTCAACTTTAAATTCTAGTGTTATCGTGAGATGAAATAAATTCACAATCTACACCTTTACCAAATAAGAAAGATGTCTTTTTCTTTCTGCCTGCTTAAAAACTAGATTTACCAATAATAATGTGTAGAAATGGCTTCTTTTGAACTA